CATACCGTAACAGTTGTATTTAGCAATGTACTGTATGGTATTATTCTCACAAGGTAAGCGACTCTGAAGGTTTGTTATGTTGTCAATAGGATTTCCATTCATGTCTTGATACAACACCATACCGTTTTTATCTACAAATATCAAGATGGCTTATCAAAACATGACCCTATTTCAGTATTTATGCGACTGTTTGCCCTGAAGAGGGACACATTAAGTATGGCAAATTTGGTAAATGGAAAACGTACAGAGGTTAATGCTGAGACAGTATTTGGTATCAAAATGAACAAAGGACAATTACTCTGTAGATAATGAGTGAACTACTATATTGTAATAAGAAACACTCATTCTTCCTTAAGATACTTCAGTTTAGTATGTTTTCATATCATCTTGATTATTATTTATTTAGACAAATGATGTTGAAGGCTTGAACAGGAGAGATATTTATTTGCTACTACATTTGAAATGGGAGAAAAGCCTGAAATCAATGGGTCAATATGAAAATATGGAAACGTAAGGACAAGAACCCACATTTGTGCCGTGTAACTCAGAAAAGTAAAGAACTATACCTGGAATGTGGTGAAAGGAGAAAACAATGAACATAAATATTTCATACATGCTTTATGACATTTAAAAATCTGATTTGCATTCGCCTCTGTTTTAACGTATTTCAAACCATGAAAATAGAAACTGAAATAGCTGTTTTGCCAATTATCAATTCATCTTTCACCATTTAAACCAAACACATTTCTTGTTTATAAATTACTGGCATATTCCATTATAAGACAAATTGTAAATTTTGACAAAGTCTCATCAGATTCCTGTTATATTTGAGTAAATCATTTTTCGGAAACAGTTGGCCTCTCGGAAAGTTAGCATTTGTCACTGTGTTTAAAAATATTGACTAAGTTTCATGAGTAGCAAGCATAAACCGTCAACCAATCAGAGCACAGTTTACTGATTAATTAATGTGGATTTTGCTCAAGTTCGAACTTTATTTAGTCAACATATAATGCACATCATCAAAATTGAACGACATTTAAGCAAGTTATCTTGTGGAAACCAAAGTGTTGACCAATGGACGGATGCTCCCCGTACAACAATAAATTAAGTCAAAATGTTTGACGGGCATGTAAGAAATTGGTATCCTTCTGTTGTATGAAAATCCTTAGTTATCATTCTCAACTCTGAAACAGAAACTCTTATGAAAAATATCTAAGAATTAATAAATATGCAAGGATTTGTCAGCATTGTTTATAAATACTACAAAACAGACAGAATTATTTCACAAAATTTTCTGCAAATTGGATTTGATTGTTCTGAATTGTTTTCACTTACAAGCATTACAAGTTGAGTAGTTTCCACCAAATGCCTCCGTAAACTTCTCTTGATTGGCTTGGATTGTGGAGACCATCATACTGTCGTTACATTTCCCCATGTACGGTTTCCAGCTAAATGCTAATTTGGCGCACAGCAATGTCCGATTGTAGTTTCTAAATAAAATAAAATATGCCAGGAATTCTTCAATCATATATTCAACAGGTTCTAACTGTAACTGAGACTGTTTCAAATAGCCTTAAACTGGTCAAGTGCTCTTTTCCAACTGTGCTACAATTATATCCAAAACAAAATTAACGGCAAGCAACTTTAAACAAAGAAGCAACAATGGAATCCTCTAGTGTTGTGCCTCGTATGAAGTTCCACAAGGCCTTTGGTTCTGATATTTGGCTTGTAGGTACCAAGATGAAAGTCACATGGGTCAGATAGGTTTACAATGCATTAACTGAAGGACCATCATTTCTGTCCTTGGTGTCTCCGGCACTCTAAAGTCAGCATCATATACACACTTAGCACCATAGCTGTTCAAATGTTTAAATGACACTAAATATAAAACTGACAATCATCAAAGGTTTTATTTGTGTTTAATTAAGCGGAATCATTTTGTATGATTCATTTTTCATTGCAGGGGGTATAGGTTCCAACCGACTTAGTTATTCAGATTAACGGTATATCGATGGGAGATCTTCAGTTTAATTCCATGTAGGAACCCACAAAAGTTTTATATTCGTAACACTGGTTTTGATTATATATTCTTTCTTATTTTCAAAAAGTTTTGCAAGGTGTGATTTTCTTTTCAGATATGACTTGTCAAAGCTTTAGTAATGCTAACAAATATATAAACAGGGTTCGAATGTGTATTAATAGCTTTTTGCAATTGTTCGGTGAAAGTTGACCTCAACACAATATATTAGAAAATAACAATCACAATCACACTGCAAGACTACATCATATCCAAGTATCATATTTCTGTACCAAGTAGTTTTGAAAGGAAATATCAGGAAGTCTTGAAATTCATAGCCCTCCATCTAAATACATACTGACCAAATATCATAATCAAGGGAATTTCAGTTTCAAGAAATTGTACAAAAAAGAAAAAAGAAAAACAGAAAAAAATCCTGACGGATAGACAGCAGAGGATTCAATATTACATAAGCTCACAACCACTTTGTTAAAGTGTCATTTAGAAATTAATTAAAGAAAAGAAAAAACAAAAACAAAAACAAATGATCATATATTTGTTTCTGTTTTCAAATTGCTGCGAATGAAAAATTCTCGAAGTTTCTCAAAACAAAAAATTGGAGTCTTAAAAAACATTAACGTTTCCAGTTAATTGCACATATATACTACTTTTCAGTATTCTACCAAATAACCATCTAGAAATCCCAGAATTTTAACTTACTTGCAGTAACTTGTGGTGTCTGTCGTGTTCAGGAAATTCACCGATTTACAAGTGTTATTCAAGTGTAGTATGATGGAATGGATGTCTGAACAATTCAATTCTGGAAGAACTGTAAAATAATTGGACATTATGTTTTATTGCCAAGTCATCAATACAATGAAACAAAGTCATTCTATTCCCAAGTTGTTCATAGGAAATTTGACGGCCAATTAACAGACAACCGGGGTCGTGCCATGGCAAAAGCTCACTTGCCCTTCTGGTAGGTGCGCTTAAAATTGTCAGCGATTCTAAAAAGTCAACCAATCTCATCTAGAATATTGGTGGAAGTAGTTAATTTCAAGAATCATAGAATATAATAGTCGTCACAGTTATTTACTGAATAGACCTTCACTTGTTTATAATGTCGCTCACTGCAGCAAGACAAAGGCCAAATATTACAACTCGGGCCTCATGCTTAAACGGATATTGCAATTTGAATATTTATCATATTTAACCCTTGTAAGTTATGGGCAATAATTCTATCGTCAAAGCACATATTTCCCGCAAATATATTTAAAAAAAAGTATTTATCTGCAGTGAGTATTCAAGCTTAGAATATAGATGTCTTTAATTTTCACCAACATGAATTTACGAAATACCACTTTCAACATTTTGTCAAATTTTGACAGATAAATAAGTCAACAAGAAAATAAAGACGGTTGTTTGCCTTTTCGTGCAAGTACGATCAAAATGTGGTCTTTTTAGATATTATGTCTTGCTATTAACCTCATGCGTTGTTGTTAAAGAGATGCGCCAGTTCAACTAGAACTACAGTATATGGAAAATTCCTTTCAAACAGTAAAACGTGTACCTGTTTCATCGGTGATGCTTCGTGCGTAGACAACAGAGATGTTGGCCTGATGTGCATATTCCATTATTTTTGATTCGAACATTTGATAATCCATATTCATTATCATTGAACGACGAAGACGGAATTGATATCCTATCTTGTATTCAATCCAGCTATTGACGGATGGAACTGCCTGTCGTTTCCTTCTAGTGTGGCTTTGACTGCAAGAAATAGGTTATTATTTTTAAGAAAGATGCACGTCTTGACAAGGTCAATCAACCCTGTCTCACGTACCGGTAATAAAACAAAAGATCCATCAAGGGACCTGTATCGCTCATCGATTTCCTTTTATCGGAACTAGAAGTTGAAAATGTTTCTTAATATTTCTTGTTTTTTCCAGACCATGGTGTTAATCTTACGATTTCTTCTTAGGCTCCAAATAATCACAATAGTACCTAGTCAGATATACAAGTGGACCAATTGTACTGAATTTGGTAAAAATCAACAAGGTACACAGCCAATCAAAAGACATTTCCCCTTTTGCTTTTATGGGGCATACTCTTCATTTATACAGAATTGATACCTCTAACCTTTGCCAAAATTTGGATTAACTAGAGATGGTGTCAAAGCGATCTAACGTCCGCCTTTTTATTCAATAATTTGTCCTGCGTCCTGCCAGTTAGACTCACCTAATATCATACACTTCTGTACTGTCTGATACACAATCAGCACCAAATACTTCATTGCAAGCTTTATTCAACTACAAAGTATAAATGCATAATTTTATTTTGTTTTTAATTCAAATGCACATCTTGTCATACTATTAACAAAGAATTGTTTTTTTTCAGATCAGGTTCAATAGAGAAAGGATATCATATATAGATGCATTTTACAATTTTTAATAACACAGTATTTGAAAGAAAATCAGCATCACCACTCCACAATTTTATTAGGTAAATGTGAACAAATTTGCAACTCCTTATCTGGACAAGACTTTTTTTGTATTTCTCTTTAATACAAAATGATTGGATTTAAAGTGAAATGATAAAACAAAGACATAATAGTTATCCAACCCTCAACTGCCTTCAAGTAAAATATTTTGATTCACCACATTACCCACTCCCGCCTAAACAAAAACAATCATGATTTTATTGAGTCTGAATGCAGACAGGCTAACTAATCTTTAGAATAGAAAATGTTATGAAACTTGTGTCGAGAGAGTTAAAAGGAAATACTTACAACATCAGCAAATATCCTCTTCACTACATGCGATTCGTAGAAACTATACACCATTGCTTCTCCATAGAATGAACTATACTCTGAAAAATCTAAAAAAAAGCATTATATCATTTCAGTTAAAGGAAATTCTTTGCTCTTTACAAAAGAGAACATGTCAGACAAGTGGCGTCACTAAACACTAGTTTCTGTAATGTAAAATGTGTCAAAGAAAACACGACTCCATCTTTAATAATTACATCCATATATATTGGTATCCATTTTCAATGATGATTAAACAATCCATAGTAAATCTAAAACTGTAAATCGCTGGCATACTAATACCCCTTAATCGAACATTGAAATTAGATAAAATCCATTCTTGCCAACCTGGAGAAGAAGATTTCAGAAGAAAAATATATAGCACAAGTTATTTTCAAAGTAGGACATAGTCATTCTACTGAAAACAAAATTCTAAACGTCTTTCATCCCAGCATATTTATGGCCAAATATCATAACGATATCCCTTTTTGGGTGTTTAATTTTGTTTGGTCAAAGCTTTTAGAAGTAGGTCAAGATCATGCATTTAAACAATTCATCACAACATGCTAATGACTTTAAAAGATGAATATTTGACGCCAGACGGAAGGACAAACGAACAACAGACACAGCATACTCGTGAATAGTTCAAGTTACCTGTATCATTATAGCTATCGCACTTGGTAACATTCACATGTGGATATATAACATTTTTCCAGTGTTGTCCTTCCTTCCATGCTTGAGCTATCTGGTTCTCAGTGCACATCTCATCATGGGTAATATACATATAGGGTTGGTGAACACAATGCTTGAAAGCCCTAAATGACCTACAAAGATAAACATTAACATTTAGGCATGAACTTGCTTCTCGTCATTGATTTTCAATGGATCTTAATAACCACAATTATCAAACTGAATATGAGCTATATTACTTTACAAAAAAAAACATTTTTACTACAGAAATTATTCATAATTGAAGCAATACTTTTTAAATTCGTGCAATATTACACTTATCTTCTAATGTGAAACCAGACATTAATTGTAAGGATGACAGTGGTTCTACTGATGTAATGTTTTACACTGAACGCAAGGCTGATAGTTTTGAAAGCCTTTTCAACAAACATGTCGATGCCTTTTCCGAATTCTAACGAATATATCTTCTTTGTTACAGTTCTATCATGTTTGTCGTATTTGAATCATAGCTAAATAATGGATATACGACTATTTCAATTTGTGTGCCATCTGTGCCTAACACGATCAGGGGCGTCTCCTTAGTGAACAAGATGCAAGCATATCGTTTCAATCTAAGAACATGTTAAAAATCAAACACACGATATGTTAAACTCACATGCACTTGTCTGATGTGGAATCACCCCAAATATACGGAACATGTAGACACTGTGATACAAGCTTCAACATTAGCTTCCTTGTGTCCTTACAAATAGATCCGTTCAGCTTCTCAACTATAATATAAAAACAGGAGGGTTAGGTTTCCACATTTGATTTTCAATTGGTTTTTTGATATTGAAGATTTTGTACTTTTTACTTAATCACTTTCAAATTTTTCGTTATTTTCATTTTACAATATTGTAATCTAAAGAAAGAGACAACAGGCAAAAACTAAAAAGCAAAATATGAAAAAGTCAAACAGTAAACAATTTTGTCAAATTGATAACCTGTTATTTGATGATGATATATACTGCAATCGGATTACATTATGGCACAGCGATTCAGGCTTAAAATGCATACACATGTTTTGTGTATTTATTGGCTTTCCAATTTAACAAGTTTATAGGCAACCCTCTGGATCCACAGTTTCTCCTTTCATAATTAACAGACAAACCAAACCCTAGTCTAGATCCAAATGCTTTCCCCTACTTCTTAACGCCACAAGACTTGTTTTAGAAGAATTATCACATTACATATTTTAATCAAATATTACACTTACGATACTGCCCCTCACCAACCTAGAATTGGGCAGGAACTTAATTTTATATCATCAAAATGCAATCTCATCCAAAACAAAAACGAAAAAACAAAAAATACACAAGAGTGTTATTTGCCAGAGAACAAGGGATTTATTAATAAAACTGAACCATTTTTTGAAGGAGCAACTTAAAAACTTTACATTCATAAAGAGTATTGGATTCTAGAAAACTGGATCTGATAAAGATTTTTTGAATCTGTATTCAGTTAATTCCTTATGTGCTCTCCAAATCGACTCCTGGGTAGTTAGAGACGTACAATTTAAACATTCTGCTAGTCGTTGGTCAGTGGCACTTCTGTATTCACTGAAATGGGCACAGCAGTTTTTGAGAAGTAGTCCACAATGTGAAATTGAAAAAAGGATTAACTATACGACTGTAAATAAGTCTTCAGATCAGGCAAACCAATAATTGTTCACCAGATACATGACACATGAATACATTTATAATGACCTATGTTAACAAAGGACAAATCTTGTTTCTTTACTTAATGCTTATTTAGTTAATAAATGAAGGACAGAAAACAAATCTTAATTATATTTCAGTCTTTCTGTCTTTTTGAAGAAATATTTACCTGTCCCGTTACATTTCCCCAGTAAACTAAGGTCAACCTTTGATCCAGTATATTGCATCGAACGTGTAGCAGCCAACTTCCCAGACAATCTGAGATTACTAATATCACATTTCTCTCCCTTTTTGTCCAAATGTGTCAGGATGCATCCAAGTTCCATCTCATACACACTGAAAGTATTAAGATCAAGGAATTTGAACTCCAGGTAATGGTTACTACTGGTCAGGGTAATAAATTTCGTACCATTATGCTACAATCACATGATAATAAAACCGAATCTAGATTATTTCCAACTGAAAATAAATAATCAACACATGAAAAGGTTATTTTCCTAAATGTGCGACCCTAGAATAACGAAATTCACTCCTTTGATAATGCACTGCAGGACCTTTCAGTCCATGGAGATTATCTAATTCTATCATATTTGGGGATGAAGACAATAGTTAAAATTTTAGCCAATTTGACCCATTTCATCCCCACATATCTGGTCCTTTGTAGCGAAATACATATAATTCAAAATTTTGGTTTGCCTTTTGCCATGAAAGCTTCTGCAATATTTTATTAAATAATGTGAATTAATTGAGGACGCAAGAACAAAGACAATTACAATAATTTTAATGGGACTCATGTGACCTAAATAATAGTAAGAGTATTTTCTCTCTTTCTAAGAGCTAGAATGAGCGTAGCAGGCACTAAAAAGTGATTTGACAAAATGCCATTTTGCATGCATGTGACATAGGTTCTAAGATTGGTTCACACCATCATGTCATGGAGTACAACCATATCACAATAGATTGAGTGTCATCAATTTTGTCCCATATTTCATGTAACAACAATGGTGCGATACATTTGGTTCTATAGATCATCTCGAGAGTAATTCTACACCCTCGGGAATTGTGAGAGAAAAACATTAATGTTTAGTCAATCCTGTCTGATGTAAGATGACAGATCCCAAAGCGAGCGTAAGATTATAAGGTTCAGTACGAGGAATTGTCAAGTGTGAGAATCTATTAATCTAAACTGAGAAAAGCTTAAATGTGACATATAAATTATATCAATGTAATACCTGCACACAAGAGACTGCAAATGAGGTGGTATCAACGATGTGTTCACTGTATACATGGGATAATGCATTTCACCATTGTAACTGCCGTTCTGATGTGTGGATGATCCATTCATAGAGTGGGCTCCAGTTGTAGTGTTTTGTTGATTGGCGGTTCCATTGGTAAATGGTCTATCCGTTGTGAAGTTGGACCAATTGTGGTTGTACATGTTGGTGGCCAGTTGGTAGAGCAAGTTGGATGTTCCCATCATACACTTGTTGTACAGCGAGTAGTAATGGTTGGAATGTGTGGGTGCCAGCAAATATGCAGGTAAGACACAGAGCTGTCCATCACTGCTATTGCCTAGAAATTAAATAGAATATAAATTCAGTATTAATCCTTAACTGGCCAAGATATAACATATAACAACATTCAATGCAAAGATACAAACATTATTCTGCACATAATGATGTGAAAATATTTAAAAACAATCAAACCACATTACGTTCAAAATGAATAGTCAGAAAACTGTTTAAGACTCAGATCAATGGAGAACATTCATGATTCCAAACACACTGATGTATCAAACCTGAACTTCAGTAATTCGTACAAACTTTAGCCCTATACTTATTATAATCAAGAAAATAATGCTCAGAAAATAGTCGAATTTTGTCACATTTATGACAAAGGAAGGCATTGCAGACAGCATTACTATTCCTCCAAGTACTAGTACAGCATCATGATTATGTTCAATAATAAAGCTTTCATAGGTACCTAGACATTTACACAGATACACAATATTTAAAATCTGACCTGTGTCCAGACACCATCATTGTTACAATATGCCACAGGAAAATGTAGCCTTTATATAGCCTTTATATATACTTTCGCTGTTTGATAATGTTTTCTTTCCTCCATTAAATAGTTTGTATATACTGTTAAATAACTTTACCATACAACTGTAAAGTTCTGCTATGCATACTTTGACTGGAACCTGGTACATATTTTTAACCTAGAGACACATTAATTAATACAACTTTCAGTCTACGTATCTCTTTACACGTGTAAAAAGTAACTGGACGTTCAAATCATACATTTTGAAGAAAAAGAAAACCAGCACTGTTTTTCAATTTACCTGGACATGTGTCAGCATCAAAGGTAGATGCATTGGTGTGATGCCAGATTTCTGACATTTCACTACTGTTCACAGCATTCCTGATGGCAGGCATGGTCCACTTCAGCGCAGACCTGCTGCAGTTATGTCCCTTGGTCCGTGTGGAATTCATTATACACTCCATGCTCATGTTGTACAACCTGAAATGAGTTGTTAACACTTCTTATCAAGCAATATATGTTACTGTCTAGTTTCAGACAAAGCCATCACAGTATTATATAGACCCCAACAGAATGACAGGCTTAGACAAATCTGTCCAGTAGAAATAGAGGAACTGGAATTTGTTTACATTACAAACGGTTTTAAAATGGTCACAAAAGTCGGATGGAGTGACAATGAGTACTAAAGTGACAAATATGAATGGACAATGTCTTCCTACTTACTTGCACATAGCTAGATGAGCATCATTCTTGTTAACACTTGTACTGGAATTCCTGTTTTCAGTCATAGCATATACTAGTAGCCCCATGCAGTTGGTCCAGTTGTTATTGGCAACGGATAACTGTCCATAACTGCTACAAACATCACTTGAACCTATAATTGAAAGATTTATTATTCGTTTTAAAGAAAACAACAACGATTGTATGAAGTTTAACAATTTTACTATGTGATTATAATATCCT